TATCCTCTGACTTGACTCTGACATCTCTGTCACAAGATTCACTAATCCTGTTTGTCTGTCTATCTGTCTGCCTGTCTATCTGTCTCTCTGGCTGATTATCAATCTTTCTGTTTGTCTGTTTGTCTGTCGTAGTTTTGACTCCACCCTGACATCTCCGTCCCCAGATCCACTAGTCCTGTCCGTCTTTGTCTTAGTCTTTGCCTGTTTGTCTGTTTGTCTATCTGCCTGTCTGTCTGTTTGTCTTTGTCACTAGACCTTTCTGTCTTTATCTGTCTGTCTACCTGGCTATCTGTCTTTTTGTCTGTGTCTCTGTCTCTGACCCTGCTGTATCATCTCCGTCCCCAGATTCACTAGTCCTGTCAGACCTGCCGTTCCCCGGCCAGATGCTGCACACGTACATGCTGAAACAGATGGGTCAGCAAGAGATGGCTGTCTTCCGCATGGTTTGTCATAGCCCAGGCAAAGACACGGTAGGGAAGGGCGGAGCAGAGGCAGCGTGACCTCTGACCTGTATCACCCAGGCTTGACCTCACCCGCCCAGCCTGCCGTCTTTTTGGTTTGGAGTGGTTCCTGCTGCATTTTTAACATTTTTTTTCCACATTTATTGCTTTGTTCTGATGTCTGAATCTGGTGAATTATACAAAGGGTTTGCTGAAAGGGAGAATTCTTATTCGCTGAGTGTATTCAATATATGGAGTGATAAGATAAATGGGAAAGTGTAGAAAGAGAGTTTCTTCCCCACCCCCCAACCACCACCTACCTCAGGAGTAGCTGACATACCACTGTGCTCTATCCTGTTTGGAAACAAGCTCTGAGGGCTCTACAGCTATTGATATTACCCTAACAGACCCTAGAACACTCTGAAACAATCTCAACTATGTGAGAAGCGTACTGAGCAAGCTGCCATTTTATAGGGACTAAAACACTAACACACCATTGCTGTTATAGCCAGGTAAACATTTCCACAGTATGGAAAGTTTGTGTAAAGTCTCCTTGCTAAGGACACGTTGTTGAGCCCCTGACCAGGGGCAAACCAATGACCTTTGAATTATGAGCTCGACAGCCTGACCACTAGCCTACCAATGCCACTTTTGCTTTTCTTTTCCTTTTGTCTTCCTCCAGTACACACGATTGCCTTCACAGTCATCATCATGTTGCGCTGTCTGACACTGTGTCGGTGATCATGTGAACATGGCAGTGTTTATTTCTACTAGCAGTCCTGGTTAACAGATCCACAGAGTTTACCCTACTCTCCCGTTTTCTCAGATCATTTTAAATACTTTGTCTGCCACCTCCTCTGCTTCTTGTGCCTATTGCTCTTTGCAGAGAATGAAGCTGTGATGAGTACGTGGGGGGGGGAGGGTTGGTGGGATGTATTCAGTGACAATATATACTGTGTCCCAAAATTTCATTTGGCATTGGTCGTTTTGATAAGAAAGTGTTCTCCACCAATATTGATGCTATTTTCCTTGAAGAAGATTTTGGAATACCGGGTACTTTGTGATAGAATAAAGTTCAATTATAATCATAAGCAGCTTATGATATTTGACAATGCTTTTATACCTAATGTCTTCTTGTAGGTACTAACTGCAAAGTTTAAAGTGATTCTTGTTTCATTTATCCTGTCCATCCTTCCTAGCAGAAAGTTCATGTGGCTTCACAAATAGTAAGTTTATTCAATGTTTCAGGCCATTTGCCCACAACACATCATATAAAACTCTCATTTGTTAAATAAAGTTTCCATAATGAAAAATTACAGGCTGTGCTCTTATCATGGGTCAAACATTGCGTAATTCTGTCACTGGGCCGAGTCAGGCTGGGAGGAATTGACAATTTCCTTTGATGGACAAAGTATGGACATAAGGGTGAATTAACCAATAGTGAACTATTCGACTCTTTCAGCTTTTATTCTGTCATCCTGTCTCGAAAGCAATTATATTTTTATATGTAAATGAAAAGGTGAAGAGTAGAACAAATGAATGATGGTCTTCGTGGTTCAAGAAGTCAAATGACTTGAGTCATGATAAGAGTTCAGAAGCTGCTGATCCACACAGACAAATTGTCTCAGGCTGTACACTTTTTCAAGTGACTTTTACACTGCAGGAAGAGTAAAACAGCATATTCGTGAAATATACTCTGTGGGGAATTCCTCCTTGGATTGCTTTTTTTCCCCTCCTCTGATGTTCACGATGCTAATGTTCTACTACTCTTGTGTGCCCTTTTACTTTTTTCACCCTTTAATTTGTACCCCCAAAATGGCTTTGAGTTATGCCAGATGAAATCGGTATTCCAAATTTCGTTTGGTCTTTTAAATCTTTCTTTGAATGTTGCAATGGTTTAACCCTTTGAGCCCTGACCTCCCGAGGCTACCATGCCCCTCTGCCTGAGCTCCCGGGGGATATATTACTAGCATTCATGTGATCATTGGAATTGCATTCTATATCTCACCCAGGCTAGTCCTCATCATTCCTAGCTTCTAAGTCAGAAAGATCTTCAAAATAATTTCCCATGCGCCTTTTGTCACAGAAGGGCCGGTTTGGGAATAGGGTCTCACTCACCAGTGTACCGGTGGCTAGGCATACGGGAAGTTATACGCGTCACCGGTGTACCAATAGATAGGGCTCAGAGGGTTAAAATTGTGGATTTTTTTTCTCTGAGGGTACAAAAGAAAGTGGTTTTACATATGAAGTTATAAAGGGGGGGGGTTTTGGGGTTGTGTTTTTTCAGTCTTCCCTTTTCTTTGTTTTCTCCCTATGTTCTCAAGGTTTTCTGTGCTTCCAATAAGCTTCATAGTATAAGCTTAAGAAAATATATCGCTCTGACTTCATACCACTCTCCTTGAAATATCATAACAGATTTGGGTGTGTGTGTGTGGTAAATTACATTGTGTAATGTTAAAGAATTTACAGCCTTGGTATGTATTAGCAGGTTTGTAACTATGAGATGCAGGTTGTATTTGTAGATAAACCTTTTATTTGGTTCACGTTTTATACATTCATAGTTTATTTTGATTTAGAATATACTGGCGTTGCTGGAGACTGTTTTTATTTAAAATGCAGAAGCAGAGGTTTTGAAAGTAGTTCTATGTTCTCATAAAGAGAATTAGTTAAAAGAGTGGATAAATTAGTGAGAAATTGTGATAAGATCTTGAACAAAATTGTACCTTTAAGATAAGGTCTTGAACAGATTAGCAGTTACAAAATATGATATACAGAAAAATAATAGTTTTAGGTTAGGACCTTATGAAGAGAAGTTGGGAGAAAGTAAGATCATATGAAGTTCCTTGATCCTGATACAGAAATTGGAAAGGGCTTGAAATGTGTCAGTCCTTTGCAGTCTCAAATGTGTGTTTACTCTAAGGTATCGAATAAACAATAGGAATAGGTGTGCAGGGGGGGGGAATGGACGAGTGGTCCAAAATTAATCAACGGGGAGAGGGTGGTACATTCAACTCATACCCCTGTACTAGAAGGAACAAATCTGTTTTATTTCTCCTTCAGTGAATAAAAGAACAGGAGATCATGAAATTTTAGTGATTTTAGTAAGTTACTGTGACAACTTTTCCCATTTAGGAGCAAACCAGTTTCATTAAAAAAATATAAACCAATGTACAAAAGTTTTAAAAATTGACAGAAAATTGAGGTAGCCAACCCGCTACTGGTACTAACACTGAGAGTAATTTGCCATTTTCAACAAAAAGAAGTTTCATTCAGATATCTGGATTCTAGATATAATGTTTCACATGATCATCAGTCGTGGCAAGCTGGAAAATGATAAATGGGGGGGGATGGAATAAAGGGGGGATGCACAAAAAATCTGAACATTAATAAGCGCAGGGGGAGGGGCGCTTATTGGATACCTTAGAGTACTCGGAGTTTTCTCGTTAAGCCCCTAAATCTTCAACACCAGCATGCTCACGTACATGCACGCACGCGCGCGCGCACACACACACACTTACACACACACACACATGCACGCACGCACACGCGCACACACACACACACACACACATGCATAAACACCCTGTCATGGGTCAACATTTTTTACATATCTTCAGTCATGACTCCAGCTTACAGAATTCTCTTGTTAACTTTCACTTTGTGCAGCAGGGTGAAGGATACTGCTACTTAATCTTGTGTTCAAAATACGGTTATTGAATTTATCTTTTTAAGCCTGTGAGCAAAGTAGGAAAGATATAAAGTCACAAGCTTGGTTGTGAAACTTTTCTCTCGTGTATTCTGCAGGGTGACAAATTTGCCCTGGTGCAGCACGACCGACTTCAGCTCCGAGGCCAGTCGACGGACGGTGAGGAGGAGTCTGGACTCAAACCCGAACTCTACAACGCCTGTCTCATCATCAACAACTGGGGGCGGGGAGGGGGCGGTGGTGGGGGCAGCACACCCGGTACACCCGATGACCCCATGAAGCTGGTGCTGAAATACTTCCTGGTTCTCACCAGACAGCGAGACTGCTACCCGATCCGAACGCTGGAGAAGGCTTTCGGGGAGTTCAGAGGTCACCTGGGGAATGTGGGGCACAGGAAGAAATCTGCCAGTAAGTCGGGATTGAAGAATGGTACAGATAGATAGATAGCCAATAAGCCTTTCAGATTAAGATTATCTAACTGGGAAATAAGCATTCCATATATAAGACAGGGTAATGATGCTAGTAAATAAGCTTTTTATATAATGTGCCTTTCCTATAAGTTAAGATAATGATATTGTGAAATAATTATTCTGTATAAGGTAGGATGATGATATGAATAAATTTGCTTGCATATAAGATAGGATGAAGATACAATGGATAAGCTTTTCACACAAGATATACTTTTCATGTAAGAGAAGGTGATATCAGCCCTTCACGTAAGATAAAGTTTTAATAAAGGTTATAAGACTTTTATATAAGATAAGATGATGATACATATAAATGAGCCCTTAATATATGATTTACTTTCATATAAGATAAGATAATAATGATAAAAATAAAAGCCTTTTTATATTTTATTTTCCAATAAATAATACAGATGAATAACCCTTCCTTGAAAAGATCAGAAATTGGAACAGATTGATAAGCCTTCTATATGGGATTTGTAATTAAATGGATAAATGTACCTTTTGCACAAAATCAGATAATGGCATAGAAATAGATGCCATTCATATAAAACTAGATAATAATGATAGAGATGAATAAGCCATTTGTAGGAAGTAAGATGATACAGATAAAAGATAAAATAAAACATTTTATACATCTTCATTTGAAAATCTTAACCTATGCCTGTAGTCTTCTCTGCTTAGACAATATATTTTTTTTTCTTTTTTGAATTGGTAGAAAACCATTCATATATATCATATATTGTAGACATAAATCATGCTTAAATAATATACTAATATTATAGATGTAATTAACCTTCATGTTCTAGCATGTTTTTGTAATATGGGGTATTAAGATTTTGCAGAAGTGAAGAACAATGTGACTTTTTCTCCTCAGCTTCGGTGGACAGCGAGAGGGAGGAGCTAGACGTTGAGAGCCAGGGCAAGCCAGTCCCGGTGAAACAGCACATCGGCATGAGGAAGGAGCATGTCAACTACCGTGGCTACTCCAACGTCCATCAGCTCATGTTGTATAATGCCCTCAAGAGGCAGAGTGACAAGGGCAGGTCAGTACGCAGTTTGTGGGGACAATGGTGTGGTCAGATTTTTATTTTTTTATTTTTTTTTGTGATGAGGGTTTGGTCAGTTTATGGTGATGACAGTCAGGTCTGTTTATGGTGATGACAGTCAGGTCTGTTTGTGATGATGAGGGTCGGGTCAGTTTATGGTGATGACAGTCAGGTCTGTTTATGGTGATGACAGTCAGGTCTGTTTGTGATAATGTGGGTCGCGTCAGTTTATGGTCAAAGGATGAAGAGGGATGGGTCAGTTTGTGGTGAAGAGGGATGGGTCAGTTGTTAAGTGGTGATGAGGGATGGGTCAGTGTTTGTGGTGACGAGGGATAGGTCAGTGTTTGTGGTGATGAGGGATGAGTCAGTGTTTGTGGTGATGAGGGATGTGTCAGTGTTTGTGGTGATGAGGGATGGGTCAGTTTGTGATAGCAAGGTCAGGTCAGTTTACCGGCCAAAGCAATTGCTACTTGACTTCCTTTGTGCAAATTGTGATATTCTTGAGAAAGATATTTGTAACTTTACAATGTCCTTTTCTTTGGAACCAACCCACTAAACTGAATGGGAAACTATTCAGAGTGTTCAAGTCATGGCTTCTGTATCAGAAGTCAAAGATTCTGTGCTGTTAAGATGGCAGCTTTGTTTTCTATTAGCTTGTGAACTGTTTTACTATTCTGTCCTTTGAATTAACGTTCTCATGTATATTGTGTTTCATTGTTTGATGACTGGCAGAGAGAGAATCCTAGAGATGGTGGAAATGTCCAAGAAGAAGTGCAGACGGGATTACTTGTGGCAGCGACTGCTCATCCACTACTCCGAGAGTGAGGATCAGGGGAAGAAGCCAACGGAATCTGATGACAGCGTGAGTGCAGTTTTCTACATGTGTCAGTTTTGAAGCAGAAATTTTGGTTTTTAACTTGCTTTTAACTTCCTAATCTGGACAGGTCTAACAAAAGGCTCAAATGTCTTGCAGTCTAATTTTTTTCCCCGGCGCCCTCCCCCTCAATGAATTGCTTCAAAGCCTTCCTCGCTTTCACTCTTTTTCTCTACAATTCCCCCTCTCTCTCTTCCCTTCTTTTCATTCCCCTTATTTCTCTCTCTGTCCTTCTGTCTCTGTCTCTCTCTGTCTTGGTATGGCTGTCTGTCTGTTTACCTTCTCCAACCCTATATCTTTATATCATCCCTGACATATTCATTCCTAGCCACTAAGCCTTTCCACTCTCGCCATCTCCCCTCCCCCCTCTCTCACTCCCCCTCTCTCTTTCTCTCTCTCTCTCTTTCTCTCTTTCTCCCTCCCACTTTCACTCTAGTCATTTCTATCCATCAAAAGCACATTTAGCCAGCACCTGCACAATATTGACTCGTTAATTGTAGGAATTGCTTCCTAACATCAGCATTGGCATTATACCTATCTTGGATGAGACGTTGGGGATCCAGACACAGGGTAGGCCTACTTGATTTTGGAGTTTTGAGGTCGCTCCACCTGAGGCGAGGAGATACAATATTATGTGTAAATTGTGCCCTCTCGACTCAGGTTCGAAGATCCTGCATCAGAATCTACGCAAATTTATTAGGACGCGAAATGAATATTTGGGGTAAATGACCCGCGAGTAGAATGCTACATTTTTTAAGTTCATTACCTGTTTGCCAACTTGCTACCTACAACCTGCTTAGGAATACCCAACATACCTGCCACTGTACTGTCTTCCTACTTAGCTCCTCTCGACTCTTGTCTTGGCCGGATAGAATAGGCTAACACAAACAATTTCACTTTAGCAGAGACTGTGCCCACCATTTCGGAACTTCACGGTAGTATTAAAGATTGTTCCAGTAGGAAACGAGATAGAGGGTGCCCACGTCCCTCGTGACTCATTGGAGCAGAGGAAAACAGGACTAACGCTAACATTACTTAATGCAATCCCACATAATAATTGTCTTGCATCTATAATCCTTGAATCTCTATCTGTGACAGTTACATGTCATACTGAGTATGCAAGTAATACACTATTGGACACTTTCATACACACTTTTTTCTTTTAATCAGATGGTGTAAATCTTTTATAAATGGGCAAGACATGAAAAAAGAAAAAAGAAAAAGAAACTGCTTCAAAGAAGCACATGCCAATCTCTGCACTAATATTTTCCTTCATGCATAAAAACTCTCTCTCTCGCTTTCCCTCTCTCTCTCTCTCTCTCTCTCTCTCTCTCTCTCTCTCTCTCTCTCTTTCTCTCTCTCCCTCTCTCTCTCTCTCTCCCTCTGCCTCTCTCCCTCAGTCCAACCCTCTCCATCTGTTCATTTCTGCCCTCAGACTCTGAGTCCACTGAGCTCGAGTGAGTTCTGTGAGCTCCTGGAGAAGGTGAGCACGACGCCACTGCGTGAGGTTGACCCCCAGCTGACCCCGCTGTTCCACATGCCCCTGCATTGGTACCGAGGCTTGTTCACCGCACTCATCAACAAGTACCCTCGTGCCCATCGCTGCTTCACCAGCACTGACAGGAAAACTCAGTACCTGGTGAGATGAAACTTTATTTCACAATACCGGAAGGGGTTCCCTCCTTATTACCTCCCCAGAATACCTCATGTTTATACAGTCAAACCTGCCCTGACGGCTACCTCTATAAGACGGTCACCTGTACAAACGGCCACTTTCAATTTCCCCCCTTGCGTTTTTTCTATATAATTAAACTGTGTAAAACGGGCACCTGTCCAACGCGGCCACGGCCACCATATTTTAACACACAACCCCTATCATTCCAAGCAATAACACCTGTCTTAGACGGCCACCTTAGTGACTCCATTACGTTTTGTCATAAATTGTGCATTGGCCCCTGGCGTTATGGGAGAGCCATCATAATTCAATCACCTGTCGTTGTTGTTAGGTAGTCCCTCCAACCGATCATGTTGCGTAGGCCCCTCCCACTGTTGACCAGTAGCTACCAATTTTCAGTTGCTGGTGAGGTAAGCGTGTGATCCCTCATAACCCATAAACCCCGCCCAGACCTGATACACAAATCGTAAGTGAGATGAGTGGTCACAAAGGACGTCAAGTTTGGTGGCGACCCATGTGTTTGTTTTAACACGGCACTCCGTCTTCATTTCGTTTTATTGTCACCCTTGTGTAAAATCAGCAACAAAATAAAAATTACAAACAAAATACAAACCACCACCACCAACAACCACAACATCAACAACAACAATGCGGCTACTTTCGATTGGGACCTCAGATGGGAATGGTATGTTTTCTTCATCTTGATCAGTCCTGGCTAAGACAGCCACCTGTCTTATACGGCCACTTTTCTCCTTGACAATGGGTGGCCGTCTTACACAGGTTTGCCTGTATATGGATTCCTCAGAATGACAAAGTTCTATCTGCTCAGTACCTAGTTTTGAGGAATTTGACATCAAAGATTTTGAGTTTCACATATTATCAATCTTCTTCGAATGCAGTTCTTTGAGTATCTTTATAAGGACTCTGAATAGTCTTACGATTTCGATAGAGCAGATAATACATTTGGGTTTGTTATCTCATGGTTTTAATAACTCAAAATGACCCAAAATGTCAGATAGAACTTTATAATTCTGAAGTAGCGACATGCTGCGGTCTTGGAAGACCAAGCCCGTAATCATGTTTTTGAGATTTTTAATTGAAGACCATTATTTTCCAAGTGCCACATTGCACAGTGTTTTTTAAATCCCAATATATTATATTGTGTGTTCCGATGCTTAAATTAGAAAAGGACCCTGAGAAGAGGGAATCTGTGAAAAGAACATATGTCATGGATGGCCATTATGTACATGTCATGGATGGCCATTATGTACATGTCATGGATGGCCATTATGTACATGTCATGGATGGCCATTAAGTACATGTCATGGATGGCCATTATGTACATGTCATGGATGGCCATTATGTACATGTCATGGATGGCCATTAAGTACATGTCATGGATGGCCATTATGTACATGTCATGGATGGCCATTATGTACATGTCATGGATGGCCATTATGTACATGTCATGGATGGCCATTATGTACATGTCATGGATGGCCATTATGTACACCGATGTTTTGAGGCAAAGTTACATGGGTTGTTGCTGTCCCTCCCAAACCTCATGACTGTACAATTATTTGAATGTTAATATTTTAGTTAAAAATGTGTTTTACTTGCAATCTTCTTATGCTTTTCAAAACAGGTTGTCCTCAACTCCAACAATCTGGACATGTTTGCCATGCTGTCGCTGAACGAGGCTGCTGGAAACACGGTATGTTCTAGCACACTTTGGTGAACAATGAAAAAGAAATTGATTTTCTCATTTAAGTAATATTTGCTTTTACTAAGACATGGCATTGGTCAAAGAAAACAGACAGATTCTTGTATCAATTGAATAGAAATTATCTTTTCAGTCATCGATGAATGTTTGATTTTATTGAGACTTCCTGTGGCTCAAAGAGCAGACTTGCCTCTCTAAGACGAGAAAGAAACCTATTGTATTTTTTGTTTTTCTTGTTTGGTTCTGTGTTCTGATAATGAGGCTCATTTATTCTCACTGTATTCATTGACAGTGTCATTGATCTCCCTATGGACTAAAGTGACTTTGAAACTATTCTTACTATTTCAATGATGTTGCATGCAAAATTGCTACTGGAAAAAAAAACCACCTGAAGTATTGGTATTTAACTAAAGATAAATGTTTGAAATTCAAGACGTTCAATTGTGGTGCAGGTGGCCCAGGTTCAAGTATCTTATGGATGGATTAGTTTTTAAACCAAAGTATTTTGGGTAGTTATTAAGGCTCTCCTTGAGCCCACAAATGGAAAAAGTTATTATGAAACTCCAAATCAACCTGTTGTATTTATAAATACTGCCGCTACTGTGCTTATGTGTTATGACCCAGCGAAATAGCAGAGGAGTTAAGCTCTTTCTAAGTTGTGGTGTAAATGAACTCGTCTGTGTTTGAAGCTTTAGGAAGAAATTGTTGTTGAGATTCCTACAGGTTGAGATACTGACTCAACTTGAATAAACCTCATATTTGTGGGTGGTTGGCCGGTGCTCTGGTGTAGTTTGCTCCTTCTTTCCTTTAAAAAATCTGTCACCCTTATCTCTCCTCCTTTTTTGTGTTTGTTATTCTCTTGTTATGCCTCTAATCTTCGTCTTTTATAGACCATATTGTGTTGCAAGTGCCATAAAACTCATACTAAAAGTAAAACTAAAACCTCATATTCTTTTGTCTGCTTCCCAGGAGTTGTGTGTTGTGATGAAGGACCCTCCTATGGAAGATGTGATGCACTCCCCAGACACGCCAAACCTGCCTCTCTACAGCCTGCAGACTCACGTGGAAGACATTGTCAATGTATGCTGCTACCACATCTGGGCCAGCATGCTGTAAATTTATTTGTAGAAGACATTGTCAATGTATGCTGTTACTATATCTGTCAATCTGGACCAGCATGCTGTAAATTTATTTGTAGAAGACATTGTCAATGTATGCTGTTACTATATCTGTCAATCTGGGCCAGCATGCTGTAAATATATTTGTAGAAGACTTTGTCAATGTGTGCTGCTACCACATCTGGGCCAGAATGCTGTAAATTTATTTGTAGAAGACATTGTCAATGTATGCTGTTACTATATCTGTCAATCTGGACCAGCATGCTGTAAATTTATTTGTAGAAGACATTGTCAATGTATGCTGTTACTATATCTGTCAATCTGGACCAGCATGCTGTAAATTTATTTGTAGAAGACATTGTCAAATGTGAACATCTTTGTGTCCATCACTACATTTTTGTTTTTGCTCTCTTTCACTAAGAAAATCTTAAAACTGTATTGATTGATCGGTTGAGGAGTTTTCTGTTGCTGGCAATAGGGAGTTGGCCGTCTGGTCCAATAACAGTTCCGTATGACTGTTGTGATCTGGCCTTTGAGAAATTGGGCTTTCTTCCCTGCTTCGTTTTCATTTCCCTTGAATTTGTTTCTGACAATAATGTTCTCGTTTGGAAAACCAACCGCTCTTTTTTTTCTGTCAATGATGATTTATCCATGTGAAGAGAAAGTTGAGTAATAATGTTTTGGGTTTTTTTCAATGATGTAATGAATTTACTGAATTCTTCTTTCGTGTTTCAGTTTGTCTCAATGAAATTTTTTGTTGAGATCATAACTACATATATATATACCAATTTCCTTTTGGGAGAGGGTATAAGTGAAAAGACATTTTCTTACTTGCCGGTGTATTTTTTATTGATATTGTAAATGTTTTCTTGCAATGAGATTCAAAGCTGTTGTTTTTCAGATTCATAAAGGGTTTTTTGAGGGGCATTAAGATTAATTCTTGTCATTTCTACCAATAAGTGTACATATATATATATTCAGGAAATTCAGAGGCATTTAATTTTGCATCAAGACAACAAAATGTTGTTTTTCAGATTCAAGAAGGTTTTTTGGGGGAGCACATTAAGATTAAATTCTTACCATTTCTATCAATAAGTGTATATATTTAGATTCAGGAAATTCAGAGGCATTTAAATTTGCATCAAGACTACAAAATGTTTCCTGCCCATGACGTAGGCATATTGTTTTGACAAAGAGCAATACAGTTCCAGGAACATTGTCCTGTACAGGCTTGACGAGATTTGTGAAGATCACCAACAGTGCTTCCTTTTCCTGCATTTGTCTTTCAAGCCTTTTGTCATCATTCTTTTCTTTTATTTTAATCATAACTTTGGTCTGACCGAAATGGCTGATTATAATACTTAATTCTGTAATGATATCATCGTTCTTGTTTGAATTCAGTGTTCTATATTTTCTTATTTGTGATTACTCGTATCTATCATTGACATGAATGATTTTTTTCTTTTTTCTTTATTATGCATGCAGTGTAAAAGCATACAGGGTTTTCCCTAAAGACCGGTTTCTGTGGTGTAGTGGTTAAGCTTTTCTCTGCTGCCCCTTAAAGACATGATTTCCATGAGGAGAAGTGTTTTTGGTCCAGTTTCTCTGTCTGTCTGCTGAAATGTTGCATCCTTTTCAGCCCAGGTCAGCCTTGACAAACAGTAAACAGGGTTGGAGCAGCCTGCCTCCTAAATGATGTAAACTGTGTCGATGGGGGCATAGAACATCTACAATTACAACACATGTCATGTTTTGAGCTAGGTCATGTCCCCGTATTCGCTTGTGTAGTAAATTTGGCCTTTTCTAGGTGGATTTTTTGTTTTTTTTGGAAACATATCTCACCATTGGTTACATTTTCTGCCTGATATTGATATTGTGTAGTTTATTGAGCAAACTTTTTTGTGGTTATGTTATTCCTACATGTGTTTATTTCTGCTTACATGTAGTTTTATTTTCCTTGATTCCTAGGTTAGCTTTTTCATCCTTACTTTTCTCTCCCAAAGTAACAGTGTCCAAATGTGGTTTCTGGGACTTTTGAATTGACATAAAGGCCTTGCTCTCATTGGAAAAATAGAAGACAAGGGGCAAGAGTGGACCAAAAACAACTTACTTTAAAGAAAAATTAAACAGATGGGTGACTAGGAAAGATAGTTATGATGTATATATATTTTTTTTGTAAGCAATCGAACAGAGAAATGAGTGGCAAACCATAACTGCCAGTGTCTGTTTCAGATCTAGCACAAGATGTTAATGGTTATCTCCGTCCACTAAAAAGACAAGTTGTAACAATACTGCCATAAGCTGACAAAACGCCTTTTTTTAATATTCCCAGCAGTTTGGAGATCAAGAGGGTTTTTTTCAGCGTAACCATTTTAAAAAAAGGTGTTTTTCCGAGAATTTGAATTCTAGTTTATTTAAAAACTAGTCTGTTTCCCTTTGATTTTTTCACACAATTCGAATAATCGATCAGGCTTTCGATTCAACAGATTTTAAAAATCTGGCGCCAAAAATCAAAAAGGTATTTTATCAGCTTATGGAAGAAAAGAAGAACATACACTCAGGGAGTAGCCTTTTCCTGACATTCTTTTCTTTTGTTCCATGTCTATGGATTTTCCTTTTTTGCTGCAAGTGTCCTATATTTTGTTATTTGAATTTCCAGGGCCCTGTTTGTACAGTCTGTTCTGTTCATTTCTGTTCTATTTTTGCCCTTTTTTGATGGCCTTTCAACTTGTGTCTCTGCTTTGTGTGGAGTGGGCATGGTGAGTCTTGTGTAAAGATAGAAAGGATCACTTTTGGGCAGAGACACTTTTCTAAAGGAACTGTTGCACCGTGAAACACACTTTTTTGTCACTCTCTTGTGACCTGCTATTTTCGGGGTGCCTCGATAGTCGAAGCAGACCTTGTGCTGTAGAAGCTAAAGAGGTGAGCAGAATAAGTCTTATTCCCTGTAAAGACTTCTCTGTTGACACCTACCCCTTGGCGCTCATATGACCTTATGCAGTTGCGAGCGCCGTAAAACCCTCTACGATAAAAAAAAAATATATATATGTATAAACTTTTTTGTGCATTTTTAGAGTATGGTCCTTTTTGTCTTGATAATTTAAATCGCTCGGCAATATGGTAAATGACATTCAAAATGTCTCAATTTCATCATTTGAATCGGATATAAAAACGCGGACTCTTAAAGAACCTTTCATTACTTTATCTCATTCATGCCTTTGTGGCTTTTGAAACATAACTGAACATGCTACTTAAGCAACTCAACGCTGTCTCTTCTCCTTTACACATGATAAAAAATCATGTTGGGAGTTCATTTTTATGAAAGATTTCTGAAGGATATCATGAAACAACTGTCAATTTGCGCATGACCTCAGAAAGTGTCATTAAATGCACACCCCTCTGTATTTGAAATACTCACTAGAGAATACTATAGTTTTGCTTGTATGTATTAAATAAAGCAGGCAAATGTCTGTGAGGGAATTTGCCCAATGAGTCATTGTGTATAGCTAAGAACCAAAACTAGTTTGGATACAATTGGCAGCTGTTAGTTGCTTGTGGTGTCTCCTGTCACCCTATCAACTTGAATACTCATTATGTCCGGACAACATTTGGTCTTACAAGTGTTTTGCATAAATGCCCATGATTTATTCATTTTGGCAAATCATTTGTCGAACGCTTCAGCATATTTCATATTGTTCTTTTAGCAGGAAAACGTGAGTGACTCCAGTTTTTTGGCTGACCCTGTGTAAAACCGGGTCAAAAAGTTTTTGGAATGCTCTTCGATGAATGTTATGAAACATTTATGGTACCGATATCCATTATATGAATAATGTGTTTGCTAGAAAAAAGTTTCTTTTGTTGTTATGCCTGTTCTTGCGTTTTCCTCTCCAGCTTGCTTGCTTTCTTTGACATGAATACTGTTAAATCGTGCAAAATTTGACGAATGCACAATTAGCTCAGCTGGTGACATGTGAGACTATGACGCAGGTGACTATGGTTTCCAGTCCTTACTGTAGCCGTTCTGGAACTTCGTAGCTCGGATCTTATTGGATATGGATGTTGAATTTGAGTGCTCAGCTGTTACGTAACCTAACGGTGTTGAAACAATTTGTATACCCATGCCTTTCACAAATGTGAGCATGCCTGGAGAAAGGTACCAAAAGACATATTTGTTCGAACAGAGATATCAGGCTTCAAGGTCAAAAATATATTTTTTGACAAAAACTAAGTTCCATTAAAAATGGATTCTTTAGCCATTAAAATATATCAATATTCATAAGGATTTGAGTTTATTTTACTCTAAAATACATTTTTTAAGATGTTTTATAACACAAGGTATATTGCATAATCCCAAAAAATGCGTGAAGAAATTGGTTTTCCAAGTAAACACTGCGGATGGGTTCTCTTGTCCATTCATAAAGTCAACCCAATTACAATGCATACCAAAATTTAGGTTATTCTCTCCCCCCTCTCTAATGGCGAGTAGTGCACATGAATATCTAGATTATGTAAATAAAGCGATGCTTTGCGCATCCAAACCCTTTCGGTTTTTTTGCAGAGCAAACTTGTATCGCTTTTTTCTGCGCTGCGCAAACCTAGATCTATTTTTTGAAAATTCTTGCTCAAGGTGGTGGTGAAGACGTTTTTGAAGACGTAATATAAACACTTTTAAGCTGTTCTTTTATCTTAGCTGGTTTTTAAAGTTGGTTTGCGAGTAGCGAATGTGTTGTCTAGTCGTCTCGAAGCGTAGATCTATCTATTCGAAGCAGAAACACAGGGAAAACTTAAAAGCCGTTTTTCTCAAAACTTTGTTCCCGTACCCTGCCTTACGAAATCACCCATATTTCACAACCTCCTGAAGATATCTTAAAAATTCAAAAAGCACATTTTTCAGAAATGATCTCTGTACATGACTATGCAAAAAAATAGGACTCTTCAAAATGCATTATTTGGTACCTTTCACCAGGCACACACACAAATATAGAGAACCGTGTTGTAACTGTATCTGTTTTGTTGTTTAGTGCGAATGATTAGTGAATGAGACTGATACTTGTAGATGTTGTCTCAACTTGTCAAATTCTGTTCTGTAATAAATGCAGCTTTTGAAATACCTCAGATAAATTCTTAACCCTGTGTTTCGTATGTATATTATTTGTGCATGGATGTATGCGCTTTCTGAGAAAGTGTGTAATAAAAAGCTCCTTTTTTTGTATCAGGGAAGAATGACATTGACTCACAGAGTTTTCGTATAATTCATTTCCGTGCTCAGATTTCAGACATGTGAGGGTTCGTATTATACTTCTGTCATTGAGGACTGCTGCTACTTCTCAAACATGCTTTTTTTATACCTTTTTCCCCTCCCTTCGATTTATTACTCTTGTGTCCACACTGTTGGAAGTGTACTTTTCAATCTCACTGTTGGAAGTATACTTTTCAAACATGCTTTTTTTATACCTTTTCCCCCTCCCTTTGATTTATTACTCTTGTGTCCACACTGTTGGAAGTATACTTTTCAATCTCACTGTTGGAAGTATACTTTTCAAACATGCTTTTTATACCTTTTTTCCCCCCACTTTAACTTTGTACTTTTGTGTTCGCACCTCAGTAAGTGGACGACTTATTTTGTTGGGGTATTGTGCACCATGTAGTTTGCCATGTGTTCAAAACAACCATTAATGTGTCTACTCTTTTCATATATATATAAAGCAGTTTGATTCTTGAAAGGTGTTTTTTTCTGAGCCATGAAGATTCTATCATATCTCTGGTAGGTGCATAAAATAATTTCACAGGGTTTTTGGGGGGGTTTTCTGTTTATTTTGTTTTGTTTTAGGTGTTTTTCAATATTTTACTCTGATTGACTGGTAATGCGTATGGTGCGAATGTGGAAACTGATTGTTTTTTTGGGTTTTTTTGTTGTTTTTTTTGTTGTTTCTATTCTTTAATATTGATAGGATGCAACTAGACTGTGAAATTAGGCTTTTATTCCAATATTTTCATGGTGTATAGGGGTTTATTGATCTGGTTAAAAAACCACCATTAACCACTTTCCCTACCACGAGCTGCAGGCTCATGGACCTGGCCTCGCTGTACCGGGAGCCGCAAAATACGGCTCGAGTGGCTCACTATCTATTCCAATCTAGTAATGAAAAGAAACGAAGTGCTCGATCGATCCACGTTTCAAAATAATAGAATAGACTTCGTGTCAGCAGATACGAAAAAAAATATAGCACTGAGAGACGATTTTTAGTCATTTCAGCGCCTTTTTTTGTCCCCTTCGAAACGTAAATATGAGAAAAAAAAGGGCTCCCCTGACTTCAGTATATGTCTCATAAATTCACTTCTATATTAGGTACAAATACATGACTTTCAGCATTTGTTCGCTTTACTTGAGGCAACCTACTTGGGAAGTTTGAATGATGCTGTTGTTGCACTTTTTTAGATATGACATTTCAAAGCTGGAAAATTGTTGATTTCATATGACACCTTCGATATTGCATAATCACTTTTAGAAACCCCAAAGTAATATAATTGAAATAATTCGTCAATATTGTATCGCCTTCTGATAGATTATTTTTTAACCCTCAGTTTGATGGGCCATATGATATGGTTTGTGTGTGTTTAGTTGGATATTTTGACATTTTCCTTTGTCAGGGTAGGGGCGTAAAAATAGGTCAAGAAAAGCCCTAGGCCAGTGGTGGATTTTGGCCTGGTAAGAAAAGAGTTAAGTTCAGTATATGCCCCCAGTATGTATGTCTTTGCCTTGTACAGTAAAAAGTTGTATAATGTACTCAAGTTGAAATGTACTCTTGGCTTTAACATTTCTTTTCTCTAGTCTTGAATCGTATTCAGTATTTTACTCTATAAAAGCTATATCTAAAAGTGTACCTGCATAAAATGTACACTCACTTTTTAAGAGATTTTAGAGATCAAAAGTCTGTGTAGGAAGTACATTGTGCGTTGTAAGAATAAAGAAAAGTGAGAGAAAGTGATAGTTTTTCTGTTTTCAGGAATAAAGCGTTTTCAGCTACAATGAGGAGAAGGCAAGTTTTTCATATGACAGTTTTGCCGCCGGTGGATGCTTATATCTTTGGCCAGATGTTCAAATCTATTTAACGAAAATGTTGTTTCTCTTTGAACCGCAGTTTCGTAATCTGTGGTTTCGGCTGCAAGTGCTCAAGAAATATTATGTTGTGGCAGTTCAGATTCTAAATTTTGAAAAAAAAGCATATCATCTTCAGAGCAATTTCTATCGGTTATATATGCGTTATTGTACAATGGTGTAGATTTCTTGAGATCAAACGTGGACCTTTGCCTTAAAAAAACTAAATGTTCATTTCTTTTTTGTCTGCGAACCATGCTACAACTACTATTATTGAGCAAATGTAGGAAACTGCACTTTTTCTTCTTTCTAGATAGAAGGCCATGTGCATTTCCTGTCAGACAACTCTTGAGCTATTTGAAGTTTATTTGTCTTTTTATAGGTTGCTGTTGGGCTCACAGATGTTCTTGACAGGGCGAAATTTTTCAATTTCTCTGCATTTTATTTCCATATGTGTGCGTTTGGTTGTGTGTTTGTGTCTGTGTAGGTGTTTGACTATATCTGTGTTTATGTGTCTTTAAGTATGTGTGTTACTGTTACTGTTAATGTATATTTTTGTGTATGTATTTGAATGTGAATGTGTGCGCGTTTATGTGTATGTTTCAATATTGTTTTAGACACACAGCTATTGGCTTGCTCATGTTCATGCACAAATGTTTTCCCATGCGCATTACAGTACGCATTCATTTTAAATCACCATTTGATATGATTAATTGTGCTTATGTGATTTCTTTCACTAGGTTCATTCATGAAACTTTTTTTTTATCATGATAGCTCTGCATTCTTATTCAGATTAGATTTGATTACTTGTGGGTTTTTTTTTAATCATTTGGTATAAACAAAGATAGTACATAACAAGATGGGCCACTCAGGCAAAAAAGTGTCCGCAGGAAGTATGCTCTTTGCTTCAGATGGCGCTGCAGTCTGTTTTGAAGCTCTCTTTCGTTTTTCCAGAAGAAGAATAGGAATAGCACCTCCTTGCGTGCGCAGATCGACTGCTGTTCATCAGCAGTTCGGGTTCGTTCAGTGTGGAGTTTTAGTTGTTTTTTATTTTAATGACCTCTAGCCTTTCATTCTTAAGTCAAATTAAACGAAGAAAACAATCACCCTTTCCTCCGGAAGAGGTTTTTTGTCAGCATAACCATTTTAAAAAAGCGTTCTTCCGAAATTCATTCAAAATCTTGCTAGTTTCACTTTGATTTTTTAAACTCAAGTAGGATAACTCTGTTCGCAAAAGGTGCGCTTTTGCGAAGAGGGCGCCACCGAATTTTGAGGACACTTTTTTAATTGGCTCAAAGAGAGAAGTGGCCCATCTTGTTATGTAGACTCTTTGGTATAAATGAGAATGTGGGGAAAATATGCTGTAACTGATTTAGACAAGACATAGAAAGTGCTGCTGGCAGTATGTCATCATTGTCACTGATTGTTGGTGTACAGTATTCTTTAGTGCAATAAGTTCCCTCACTTCATGCTCAAAGAGAACACTTACATATTATTACCATGACCTGCAGCTTGTGGGCACCATTTATGAACAGTATTACCAACACTGCGTTGTGTTTGGTGACTTGTCCATTTTCACATCTTGCTGTCTTTCTGTTGTTTATATTTATTGTTCAATGAAGTTTGTTCTTTCTCATTACTGTGCCATATTGTCCCATCTTGGAAGTAGACTAGCTGTTAGTTCGGTCTGTGAGATAGACTGCCGTGTGAAGTTTCCTTGTTGAAATCATTACAGGGTTGATTCCAGTTGGAGGGAGGTTGTTCGCATGATTTTTTAGGCACTGCTTCTAGTACTATTTGAAAGGAAGTCATTTGTATGACTTAAACATTAGATAACCTGTGCTGTGTTGAGAAGGCTGCAAAACTCGTCTCTGATCAAAGAAATGAGACCTCTCTGTGGAGTTTTGGGCAAGGGACAATTTCAGTCTCTAATGATGCCAGAGATAACAACAGTGTGACTGATCAGTTGACTAGAAGAAAGGTTCACTATCTGCCTCTGAGCCATAAAGACATGTAAGTCGCAATCTCCCATGTTGATTCTTTCCCTCAGGTCTTTCCTGTTAGTTCAAGAAAGAACTACAGTACAGGATTAGTGTTATTCTCTGTTGTTGCAGCATGTATCACATTGTTGTGTCTACCTGAGACTGAGATAGAAAAGAGAGAAGAGTTTTAAAGTAATGCTCGCACCCACAAGAAGTTTACTGGTTGTGTCATTTAGAACTTAGGAGTCTTGTCAATTATTTTCTCTCACAAACTGAAAAAGACAAAGTTTGTTTTTGCTTTTCGAAATGAACATAAAAACTGATTGTAAGTTTTGCAATGTTTTGAAAATTGTTCAATTCCTGAGCTTCTGATGCACTCCAGGGGTACTTTTATGGCAGTTTCTTTCATAGCTCGAAACATCTTGCTCCATTTTCATGCCTGGTGAACAATCTGACTACAAGTTTTTGGTAAAAAATGTTAAGTCTGATACCAGGTAAATGAACAGTTCAGATAACGTCAAGATTTTTTTTATGAAGCCATGTTGATTATCACTAGATCTTACATTGTACTTTAATGACTGTCCTTCCATCTGTCTAAAACTGAACCTTGGTCTTAGACTTTTGTGTCAATGTGAAAGTGTTGTGTTCCTGTGCTCTTTTGCTTCAAAGAAATGATTCCTTAATCTGTCTGTATTGTCATATTACTGAGAAGTTTGTATTTTCAAGTAAATTCAAGCTCAAAACTTATTGATCTCTTTTCGCAAAAGTCCTTAAAATGTATTGTTAGTGATGCACAAGTTTCACTATTTTTGTACTTAATGAATTTGTTATTTTGAATGCATAGGCTACACATATGCTGAAGCAAGTCTGTCTATTATCCGACATTTTTTTTTTCTAAAAGTAGAAGTTCCAACAAGATAGAAATAAAAAGAACAACTGTGAGTACAGCTGGAAATGGAATGTTTTTGTTTCAAGGACAATTTTAATGCAGTTGGTATCATGCTTGGCTGTGAGATGGATGACAGTAGTTATTCCTCAATGGGTAGTTTCAAGGCTCTCCACCTATATGGCTCAGTCTGTCGGAGATAAACTTTGAATATGGAAGTCTCTCCTCTCAAATAACCTCTCAGTGTTGAAGGGGAGTAGTAAACCTACAATTTTTATGTTTTATTATTGTAACAAAAATAAAATAGGACATTTTGGTGTATCCTTTTCATTAGTAAAATGTGGTTTATATTTTATGTGTAATTTAAACAGTGTGCCAGATGCATGGTGCATTGTGAAGCAATTGGTGGTATTTTTCAGGGTTTATGTGTGTGTATGTCATTTCACTGAATAACTGATCATGGTGTGTCTGTGTCCAAAGGGTCTCTCAAAACATTTTTTGTCTTTCACAGTCATGCTTGAAAAATTGCGTAGGCCCTATATTGATTTAGATACTATTCATATGTGTATGGATTTTTGTCTCTTTCATAGTCTCTGCTTATACTTATTGATGAAAGAATCAACAAATAAATGAGACTTGAGTAAATATTACTTTTGAGTTTTGAGGTTGTTTCTTTGCTCCAGTGTGTTAACTTTGTGTTTGAGTGGTTGGGGGGTACTGTGGTGTGGTTTGCTCCTTCCTTCTTATCAGACATCTGTCATCCTGATGTCTCTTCCTTTTTTGTTTGTTACTCTCTTGTAACACTTTTAGTCTTTGGCACTTATATTACCTAATTGTGTTGCAAGCACCGTAAATCGCTTACGAAAACTAACTCTGTGTATGGTGGT